TTGATGAAGGACCTCAGTTACACAGACATTAAAGCCTAGGTCTAATGTTACACAGCCACTAAGGCCAATGTTTGATGGAGGACCTAAGTCACACAGACACTAAGGCCAATGTTTGATGAAGGACCTCAGTTACACAGACACTAAGGCCTATGTCTGATGAAGAACCTCAGTTACACAGACACTAAGGTCTGTGTTTGATGAAGGACCTCAGTCACACAGACACTAAGGCCAATGTTTGATGAAGGACCTCAGTCACACAGACACTAAGGCCTGTGTCTGATGGAGGACCTCAGTTACACAGACATAAAAGCCTAGGTCTAATGTTACACAGACACTAAGGCCAATGTTTGATGAAGGACCTCAGTCACACAGACACTAAGGCCTGTGTTTGATGAAGGACCTCAGTTACACAGACATTAAAGCCTAGTTCTAATGTTACACAGCCACTAAGGCCAATGTTTGATGAAGGACCTCAGTTACACAGACACTAAGGCCAATGTTTGATGAAGGACCACAGTCACACAGACACTAAGGCCTGTGTCTGATGGAGGACTTCAGTCACACAGACATTAAAGCCTAGGTCTAATGTACACAGACACTAAGGCCAATGTTTGATGGAGGACCTCAGTTACACAGACACTAAGGCCAATGTTTGATGAAGGACCTCAGTCACACAGACACTAAGGCCTGTGTCTGATGGAGGACCTCAGTTACACAGACATAAAAGCCTAGGTCTAATGTTACACATACACTAAGGCCAATGTTTGATGAAGGACCTCAGTCACACAGACACTAAGGCCTGTGTTTGATGAAGGACCTCAGTTACACAGACATTAAAGCCTAGGTCTAATGTTACACATCCACTAAGGCCAATGTTTGATGAAGGACCTCAGTTACACAGACACTAAGGCCTAGGTCTAATGTTACACAGACACTAAGGCCAATGTTTGATGAAGGACCTCAGTCACTAGGACACTAAGGCCTGTGTCTGATGGAGGACCTCAGTTACACAGACATTAAAGCCTGTGTCTGATGAAGGACCCCAGTTACACAGACACTAAGGCCTAGGTCTAATGTTACACAGACACTAAGGCCTCTGTCTGATGGAGGACCTCAGATACACAGACATTAAAGCCTAGGTCAAATGTTACACAGCCACTAAGTCCAATGTTTGATGAAGGACCTCAGTTACACAAACACTAAGGCCTAGGTCTAATGTTACACAGACACTAAGGCCAATGTTTGATGAAGGACGTTAGTCACACAGACACTAAGGCCTGTGTTTGATGAAGGACCTCAGTCATACAGACACCAAGGCCTGTGTCTGATGGAGGACTTCAGTCACACAGACACTAAGGCCAATGTCTGATGAAGGACCTCAGTCACACAGACACTAAGGCCAATGTTTGATGAAGGACCTCAGTTACACAGACACTAAGGCCTAGGTCTAATGTTACACAGACACTATGGCCAATAGTTGATGAAGGACCTCAGTCACATAGACACTAAGGTCTGTGTTTGATGAATGACCTCAGTCACACAGACACTAAGGCCAATGTTTGATGAAGGACCTCAGTCACACAGACACTAAGGCCTGTGTCTGATGGAGGACTTCAGTCACACAGACATTAAAGCCTAGGTCTAATGTTACACAGACACTAAGGCCAATGTTTGATGGAGGACCTCAGTTACACAGACACTAAGGTCAATGTTTGATGAAGGACCACAGTCACACAGACACTAAGGCCTGTGTCTGATGGAGGACTTCAGTCACACAAACATTAAAGCCTAGGTCTAATGTTACACAGACACTAAGGCCAATGTTTGATGGAGGACCTCAGTTACACAGACACTAAGGCCAATGTTTGATGAAGGACCTCAGTTACACAGACACTAAGGCCTGTTTCTGATGGTGGACCTCAGTTACACAGACATTAAGGCCTGTGTCTGATGAAGAACCTCGTTTACACGGACGATAAGGCCAATGTTTGAACGAGGGCCTCCGTAAGAGACAAGAAGGTGTATAATCTATCATTCTACCATGACATGATAAATACACAATTCTTATCAATCAGAGATTTCTGATCACAATAATCACCCACGATTCAACGCAAACGTTAACATCTGAAAGCTCACGCTGCACGTTCCGTTCCGTTCCAAATTCAGTTTAGCGCGTTATCCTAGCTCGCCACAGTATGTCTGTCTTCTAATTTATTACCTTGATGTAGGTTGGAAGTTCCATTTGCTAGCGGAATAGGGTTATCAAGCCTGCATACATCGATAGGAACAAAAACGTCAAATAGCTGTAAAACCGCGTATCACGAAGCGAGTGCGTTAGTACCCGGTGAGCTGAAGACAGTACAGGTGAGGGCACTTCTCACTTATGGCAATGTTGGACGTACCTTGAGGCCAAGTCAACGAATACCGAACTTTAAAGCTGAATAATGGTTATTATCATTCACCCCCCACCGCCCAACCCCACCCCCCACCCTTGCTGGTCTGAAAATGATTTAACAGTATAAATAATACATCGGAAACTCGCTAGAACTCTGAAAGGTTAACATGTTATTGATACAGGCCATGAATTATTATGAGGAAGAAATGGAGACAGTCGGCAACTTCAGATAGTAAAGTCAATGGATTGATAACTTCGTGTAGAAATTAATGAATTCTTTGGACCAGATTCTCACTTTAGCCAACACGTTGGCCGACGGCCTTCATATGTAGTACATAGAAATGTTTTGTATCGTCGGCTGACCTGTCGGTTAAATCATAGCCAGAGAGTATCAGATACTGGGATACTAGATTACAACATACCAGGTTTCTTAAAGGAGCAATACTGACACTTAATGGTATATACAGGATTTCTTGAATGGCATTTCAACTGATACCCAACAGGACACTGTTTCAAGTATAGCAAAACAACATGGATTTTATCCGACTGGCCTATAGATTATTTAGTACTTCATGTAACATAAATAGTTTTTTGAAAAACAGCTATGTCTGCCAGTTTTTTCACTTTTCATGGACTAGCGGACTAGTGTCTATGTCTAATTCTGGTTAGGAAACGCCCGGTTATTAACGATATCGCTGTCACACATTGGGACAGTGTTGGAAACTCTCACGTCTCCGATTGAACATATCCGGAGACTTGACACTTCGTTGGTAGGGCGAATATAATATATGATATTGTATATGGATAGGGCGAATATAGGATCGTTTGCGCTAAAGGGCTAATTAAGGCATTCTGCTACAGTTTGCGCTTCAGTGTACATGTCTCAGTACAGATGCGGCGTGTTTGTAAGGTCAACCCGCGCTGCAGAAATTTGGTAACTTCATTTGGTTGATTTCTTCACAATTTTCAAAATGGCGGTGGTACCTTCTCCCGGGTATATTCCATAAGTACTGCGACATACGATCAGGCCTGCACCGTTAATTATTCATTTGCTGGAGCTAAAGGTTGAAATTAATGCCACTCTTTGGCATTTCTCTGAAGACGAAGACTCAATAATCTACATGCAGTATACATGCATCATATTTCGGCCGGGCGTGCCAAGCCGCCAGCAGCACAGTAGGCGTGGTCATGGATCAGCTGTGGAACGTCGTTGTTGGTTTGGTAGGATCGATTCGAAAGTACGTCAAACTTGAGTGTATCTTTATGTGTGACTATCAGCGAACTTTGTAAATAGTCGATCGGTATCAACTTCACAGAGATAATCTTTGTCAGAATTGGTAGTGTAGTAGCAGTATGGTATAGGAATTGAAGAAAATGAAGTCAGTTAGATAAGACGGAAACATTAACCTCAGGAAGTTACTTTAACCACAGCTCTGAATTTGCTTGAGACAAACATCGAGCGGTATTTTCAATGATTTTCGAAACTTTGTTAGGATGTGTTCAAAACATGTAGTCGAAGAAGCAATGGAAACCACGCTATACCTTTAAAGAAAGACATTTGAGATTGTGTGCACTCCAGTTAAGTTACTGTAGTCATAGTTGTGGTTGTAGAGGTGATGGAAGTAGTAGTAGTTGTAACTGTTCTTCTATAGCAACTACGCCAGATGTACAGTGTTGTTTGCGACGAAGTCAAGCTAGTAGCTATCGTGAACTGTGGGCATATTGGTTCTAATTAGACCTTTACATCGATGACCGGTATCACCTATATAAAGATGAACCATCAGATATCGGGGCTGAGGGGCCCATATTAGTCCTGTATTAAGGTCATTTGCTTTTTAGAGGCCAATGTCCCAGACCCATTACCAATCTGAGGCACTGATTTAGCACAACACACACACACACGCACACGACTGAATAGCAACAACAGCTGCAGACCACGGAAGTCAGTGTGGGTGTCGACCTTGACACAAATGACAGATCCCGCCACAGACAATTCACGTTTTGCTACATCACTCATAATGAATATTTCGTGACAATCATACGGCACAGAACTCATAACAACAAAGCCTCAAGGTATGTGTGACAAGAAAATAATCTTGAATGTATTAGAATGATTGCGTCATCCGTTTTATCTGATTAAAGATGAATAACGTTACCCTGGAAACGAAGTACATATGTACCTTGTGGAGTGACACCAGTGCGTGTTTGGCGCAGGTATACTTAAAAGTCACAAGGTATATGGAAAGTGCTTTCTTCATGGCTTTCTCTCTGAAATGACCCCCACCTCCCGGCTTTGTTGGTTGTATATTTAACCTCTGTGACACTGGTCGTTCACTGACTCGCTCCCTCAATGGAGTCCTCTGATACAAAGTGGATAACTCGAGTCTGACCTTGGGACGTTTTATTGCATTTCATGAGGTTGAAATAAGATCTGCTCACTTTCCCTGTACACTTGGCATTCTTTTGTTCGCAAGCACAAAAGATATAAGAAAAGTTTTATTCATTTGGTCTTATACATATATGGCACGAGCTGTTCTGGCATGGTTCGCACAAATTCACAGAACTGAAGATTAATTTGCACTGTAGCCAAAATTTTATGCTCAAATCTCACACATTTGTGCCTGCGTTGTAAGCTATAGAAATTGCGATGAAAAGGAAAATTTGAGAACAAAAGCGTTTGCGTGGTTAGAACTATTAAACATTAAAGTGATTGTTATCATGCGACCCTATAAATAAGTAAAGAAGCAGAAAGGCCGACGGGTCAAATTCCGCTTGAGGTCGGGTTGGGAACTGAAACCGACATGTGAATGTCACGTGACATCAATTTAACCAATCAGTATACATGGACGTGGATTTCGCTGATCGGCGGTTCTGCATGATTACTATCATTTTCGGGAATAATTTGCATAAAGTTTCTCTCCGCTTCCATCAGCTTCAGACTAGCCTAACGACATCGAGGAAACAGGCGAGTGAAGTCATCCCTCATCCGACGAGTACGAGGCCGGTTGCTGAGACGGCGGGGACAGAGGACAATCCCGGGGTGACGGGTGGCTGCTAAACCTTTAGAAAAGTAACCGTAAGTATAAATACAAACACTTGTCATTATGTTGCGAAATTATAATTTTCTCCATTAGAATTAACTCGTATATAGACCTTTAGGTGTAATTGCGAAATTACTTAGACTAATTAGCGATAGTTATAAACTGCAAAGTCAGTTAAAATTTCATGTCATACATTTTCTTGTTTGCCCCGTTCAGTTAAGTAAATTTAATATTTAGGGGAAATAACTGCTATATTAGTATTCAGCGTTCTGTAGTATTTCAGAAATTAAGCGTGAACATTTAGTGAGTTTCTTACGGGGAAATACAAAGTAATATTAATTCAATTATGAAACTGATTTCAGTTTGTGGAAGTTTTTTCGCGTTTTAATTACGGGAAATCTCGCTACTGATAATGTCTAAAAGTCCTTTTCTTTGACTGTTAAGTTAAATCAGATTAAAATTATATCACTAGTTATATCACGGGTAATGTGCCTGTGAAGATCCGGGGTAGAATAGGTCTTCAGCAACCCATGCTTGCTGTGAAAGGCGACCAACGGGATCGGGTGGTCAGGCTCGCTGACTTGGTTGATGCATGTCCTCGTATCACAATTGCGTGGATCGATGCTCATATCAATCACTGGATTGTGTGGTCCAAACTCGATTATTTACAGACCGCCGTCATATAGCTGGAATATTGCCGAGTGCGGCGTTAAACAACAAACAAACAACATCACTAGTTCTGTTCAATACTTATGTTCCAAGTTTCACAACTTTCATTCAGACCGATTGACACTTTTATTTAGGCTTCAAGTAAAGCGCAAATTTCAAAGCTTCTTTTGCATCACAGTGTTCATCTATCGACGACTAGTTATTGACTGATTAAATTTATTTAATGTACACTTATTTAGAGTTTAATGCAACAAAAGAAACCCAATGAAACATTTCACCCGGCACAGTGTCGGTATTTATTAGGCACAGGGTAGGATGGCGACTTTTAAGATTGTGTCCGGTTGTCGCGTCATGCTAATCTGCTTCCTTAAGAATTAGACAATTAGTTTTCTGAGAACTGTCTCTTGACCACTTGGAAAACTGTGCCCACACAGTCGGCGAAAATAATTAGAATATTTGTTATTTGCAAATATGCATGAAAATATTCACAACATTTATGCATGTAGAACAGACCTTTACTTAGAATATATGAGTTGGAAAAAATATTTGTTTATATTTTTAAGGTTAAATTTATATTGTCCGTAAATTACCATCACACAGGGTATGTGCATTTGTCCCACTTAAATTGTCCAGAAGTAAACCTGAACAAACACATGCTGTATTTAAGGCAGGCTTGTTTTCATGATGTATAAAGAAATAGCAAGGGTTATCCAAGTTACCCATTACCCCTGTTTGAAAAACACACATTGATCCCAATGTCGTGATCACGAATGATACAGTGTAGTATTATTGAGGTTATTGAAGAAAGCAACCTGTTCAATATCAAATTAAATTAAATTATATATAAAGTCTTATAAAAGTGTGATCATGAATTCACGTATTTGTGATTTTTGACTATTCAGGTGCGTCACTGCGCTTCAACACAATTATCTAAACTTGAGTTGTGTTTCTTAGCGATGTAATGGCATGACAAGTTTACAAGTTTACACTCGGTTCCTGCTTGTATTTTTAAGAAATTGACTAGTTCCTGGCACGTATACAGGAGAGTATGTTTTGTATGGTCATGTGGTGCTGTGCTAACAATAGCGACACCATAGCTCCGAGAAATGACTTTTAAGGAAAATTAATAATTTCAAATTTCGTAATATTTCAAATACATTTTGTTGATTTTGGCTCAAATTGTAACAAGTACTCGATACATCCGTGTGTGCCAGTATGTAGAAGATATATATTGTAATCGATAAACACAAGCCGTCGTAAAATAATCTTAAATACATCAAAATATGCCTGTAGAAGTTCATGTAACAAACAACATTTAAACAAATTTGATGGGAACTTATTTTCCCGTTTACTATATGTATATCATTATATTTTCACAATGTAAATAGCCAGAACTGAATATTATTCCCACAATATACACATACACACAGAACGCCTCGGTGAAAGTTGTGAAGAATCTAGTTAGAGAATATACTTGCTCCAGACCAAACGCTATTCTCAATAAAATGTTCTGTCGACTGGGACTGTAATAGATGTTACCTGAAACTGTAAATGGCGTAGCGAGGTCGTTACGGGTAACTTGAGTGTTGTGAACGCTCACGTGAAAAACCACGAACAAAGGGGCACCCGCATTAGTCTGACTAATAACTGCGGCGGGTGTCAATGTCAACCAGGCACCTGATACGACTCCTTCGACGTCTAAATCTCCTTATACGACATTATTAGAACTGAGGCGCTGTAAGTCAGCTTTTCCTTAAAGAAATGAAATAAAGTCCATTAAAATACCTCATATCTGCACACAAAAGTCATTTAAAACCCACAATCTGCTGTGCATGTAGCTATAAAAATGATTCGAGATTTGCAGTGGGAGACCTCGATGGAAGACTGACTGTATGTCCGGAGTTAACGTTGATCCATTTGCTCTCCAGCGTCCTTGAAACCTATGTATCTGTAGGTGCCACACACCCGGTCCCTGCTGCATCCCCCCAGCCTGTACGTTGCTGTATGTATACATATAGATGTAGGTGCCACACACCCGGTCTCTGCTGCATCCCCCCAGCCTGTACGTTGCTGTATGTTTATACATATAGATGTAGGTGTCGCGTCCTGGGCGGGTTAGCTGAAACTGCGAGTGCCAGACTTCTGCCATCGTCAAATGCTATTTTATGACATGAATTTATACGTTCATATTTCTCTGTATTATTAAATTTATACAATGTTCCTGGGCGTGCTCGATACTAGATGGAGTATGTGGAGACAATAGGGATTTCATTATTCCATTCATGCACGTCACTAATGAGAAAGTTTAACCTGAAATATTTTCTCGCCCCAACTCTACTCCCGAGCGAACTCTACTGGCCCAAAGGAGACCTTAAATATTAGAAACAAAGGTAACCGTGCTGAGGGCTGGTGCCAGTTTGCACCCATGTTGCATGACGAGGGGTGTGGCCACCTTAAGAGAGTCATTTCAGCTTAAGCCTCCTACCAAATCCGTCTGATAGCTTATTTGTCATTCCAATATGCTACTGTTAATCTGACAACTATGACCGATTTTCCGCTAAGAGTTCAATGATTAAAGATGTCTCCATTTCGTATTTGGAATCATGAAAAATCAAGAATTGAAAGACGCTCCTGATCTAGTGACTTGCTGTGCTTAAGCCAATTGTGGATAAAAGATTCGTAACCTAGGCTTGTTAAAACGTCTCAGTCAGTTTAATCAGTTTTAAGTTAAGTTTCATAGTAGAAAAGAATTGGAATATTTACAATCGTGTGACTTGTGCTTAAGCCAGTTGTGAAGAAAGGATCACATTCCAAGCTTATGTTCATTTAAACGCCTCAGTCACTTTAATCAGTTTTATAAGTTTAGTTTCATAGTAGGGAAGATTGGAATATTTAAAATCAATTCATCAGGGCAAAATATACGTTGGTATTATTTCGACGCTTTTGCACTCGATAATGAACAAGCACATTGGCTGGCGCAGCAGTATCTCGGCACAGACCGACCTACAGGTGCTTGTTCAAAGAACTGGCCTGACACCACCCGTATGTTACTACTTGGACTATCGCTTGTCAGTTCATATAATTTTTGCCTTATGCCTTCTCGTGTTGCCATTAAATATGCAGATCTGCCTATTCTTTCTTGGAGACCAGCACTTGGTTGCTTCTGACATTTGGCTTCTGACATTCAGCCATTTGCAAAATACGTACTTCTGCATATCAGCTTTAAGACTTAATGCTGTTTGCTCATGTAACATTTCTTTGTAGATAATGGATTTTTAACGACAAGACTTCTCATTTTTTTCCATTTTACATTCAAAGCATATGTTCTATTTTTGGTAAATACCTTCACGTATACGTCACGGTATATTATAAGGTTATTAATTGCGCAACTTTTATATTTTAAATGTCAATGGGTGATTAAGTACGCAGGTCTGTCAGGAGTTCTGTCTAAACCCCAAAGAATAATTTAATTTTCAGTATGAATGAATATTTTACCTCTGTCAAAACGATAGAAATTAGCTATGTTTATACATTGGACTAATATGCGACAATTAACTTCTGAATCAAATAGTATCGTTGGGCGGTGGGGTAGTTACAACCAAGACGCAGGTTCGAATTCCCTACTGGGTTCCTTGTGTGAAGCCCATTGCTGATGTTCCCTGCCGTGATATTGCTGGGATATTGCTGAAAGCGAAGTAAAACCACAATCCCTCACTCACTCGTTAGGCTGCTGGAACAGGAGTCAGATGCATTTCATTTGAGCATCAGTTTGAACTAACCGAGAAGCCAGCTCATGACGGTTTAATTCGACCCGATGGGACAAGATGTCGCAAGCAACGGTTCCTCACTGTGGTCATTCTAAAAGTGGTAGCCTTGTGCACCAACACTTGCCCCTGGTCATTCTTGGCCGGCATAGGCCAGAGACCCTCGTGCTTGGTACTGAAATAGGCCTATTGACAAATGATGGTTATAGGTGTGACCTTATTCGTTGTGTGTCTTCCAATCATTGCTCATACTACCAAGCAGCCTGATTTATTATGTACGTCGCCGTTATACAGCTGTACCAGTACTGCGACCTAAAGCAATATTTTTCACTAAATTAAATTTAATTAAATTAACTTGGTTTGAGGCATGTCATCGATCCAAATTGCGCAGATCGATGCTCATTTTGTCAATCACTGGATTGTCTGGTCCAGACTCGATTACTTATAGACCTTCGTCATATAGCTGTAATATTTCTGAGGGCGGCGTTAAAAAACAACAACAAAATACAAATGCACATTTCGTCCAGTCCGGCATGCAAAACTTTCGGACAAGTCGAGTTTTCCGTTTTAATGTTCCGTGATCAAGTTGCAATTCTATACTT